AAAAAAAAAAAAAAAAAATCTAGGCTAAGAGCATTGTAACCCAGACTTCTCACTCAAACTAGGGTCTGACAGATGACAGATGTCTGGAATCCTGTGACTTAAGGCACCTAGGCCCCAGACCCCTAAATACCTGCACTGTCTCCTGTTACTTTGAGGACTTTACTTCTCTCAAGGTCCTGTTACCTTGAGGACCAAATGTTTGCCATGCCTTGGGGCTCTTACTCCTGGCTACACGATACGCCCAGAAGTGAACTTCTGGTACAATAACTGCTATCCCAAAGGCCCCCGAGGAGACTCAGGAGTGGGGGAGAGAGAACTTTATTTTTTATCCTTATCAAAACAGACCAGTGGTAAAACTGGGTCAGCAAGGTCTGGAGGGCAGATGGGCCCCAAGTCCAGGAAAGGTTGCCCATTATGTTCAGGTTGCCAGCTGCAGAGTGCTGGCCTCTTGGTATGGCCCTGAGCCTGGGCAGGTCTGGGCCATGCAAGACAGTCACAAGCAGCAGGACAAGAGTGATCCAGGTAGTTCTACCTTTGGAGAGTGAGGTGCTGCTATGCCTTGGCTGGGCATCTCGGGGCAGGACTTGGAGGTCTATACTAACAATCCATTGCCCACATAAAGCACAGTGCTAAAACCAACCTTCGTGGAGGACAGGCTGGTGAGGTGTCTGAGGGCACAGGCAGGGTTAGAGATGGGGCTTAAGACAGGATGGCTTAGAAGACCCCTTGAGCTGTTGGGAAGAGCAGGATTCACAGTACAGCCCTGGTCCTGGAAGCCCAATACCCTTCGGACCAGACAGGGTAGCCAAAGGGCATGGGAGGAGGTGCAGCATGTGGGCTGGAGGCCTGGGGCAGAGGAGCAACAGGCTGGGGCCAGGACTAGCTAGCAGAGCCCAGAAAGCCCACTCACAAGACTATCTTTTGGTAAGGAGACACAGACAAAACATGGTTTGTAATATTTTTTTAAACTATAGTTACATACAGAAAATATCCAAAGAAAATGCAAACCACAAGAGTGACAAATGAGTCATTTCCAACAGTGATAAAAACACTTCTTGTTTTGCTCTTTAAAAATGTTTATTATTTTTTTAAATGTCTCTTTGGGCAACTGAGACATGTGGTGCTCACAGGGACTGGGGTGATTTGGGGAAGAAAGGTGGGTCCCAGCTTGAGCTGTCTCTCAGGCCTCCCCTATATCTGCTGAGGCTGGTCCCCAGCCTCCATTCTCAGAGACCACAAAGGACTGGGTTGGGATACCAAGATGCCACAGATCCTGGAAGCCAACTACTTCTGTGGTACCCCAGTAACATATGGCCCACAGAGGCAAAGCCACAAGGAGGTCTGTGTGTCAGTCCCAGCTGCTGCAGATATTATCTCCCCAAGTGCCCAGTATCCCCAGGCTGCAGGGCTCAGTTGCTGTGTGTAATGGTTGCAGGGCAGCTGGGAGGCATCAGCAGTCTTTTGGGATACCAACCCCAAGGGAGGTCCTTGTCTAGGCCTTTGGGCTGGCTCCTCTTCCTCCACCCTAAACATAGGACTGCCTGTCCCAGGACAGGCCAGCAGGGCTGCAGGAACTCAGCAGGCCCTGGGTCTCCTTCTTCTGTGGCCCCCAGCCTACCACTCTCTGCAGCCATGCATACCTTCACTTGCACACACAGATCTGTTGCCCCCAGACCTCTGAGGAGCATAGCGTCCACCTCCTGGGTCTGGTGCTCCAACCTGCCTATGTCCCCCACCCTGTTCTTCCCCCTAGACTCCTGGGGCCTGCCCCTCGGCTGAATCAACCTCTTACACACACAAATACAGGTGGATGGGGCAAGCCTACTCCTCCCCCCACACTCCCCCACATCATCACTTTGGAACCCAGAAACATTACTGGGGAGGGCAAGGTGCAGAGGGTGCCAAGATGCAGTACCATAGCCCATGTTCTCCCAGGCTTTGGTGCCTGCCAGGCAGGCATGGGGGCAGCCCAAGGGCAGTGGGAGTCACCCTGATTGTACCTGAGTCAAGAGGCAGCTGCTCCCAAGGATGTGTTGGGGGCTGGGGTGAGGTCTTTCTTTGTAGAGGACAAATAACCAAATTCAGGTTGGTCCTTCCCTTCCCCTCCATAGCCAGGCCACATCAGCTTTGCAAGAGAGAAGGCTCTGGTTGTGAGGCACTCGAGAAGGCCCCATGGCCTAGGCTGGGAACACAACCCAAACAGGATTCTCAGAAATAACTCCCACAGGCTGGGTGCCCGTCGTTTAGTGGTTAGGGAGCTGGCCACATGATCCAGGGCTGGTGGGTTCGAACCTGGCCTGGGCCTGCTAAACAAACAAACAAAAAATAGCTGGGCATTGTGGTGGGCACCTGTAGTCTCAGCTACTAGGGAGGCTGAGGCAAGAGAATCGCTTGAGCTCAAGAGTTTAAGGTTGCTGTGAGCTATGATGCGATAGCACTCTACCGAGGGTGACAAAGTGCAACTGTCTGAACAACAAAAACTACAACTCTTGGCCTATGAGGGGGCAGAATGGCCACCCCAGAAGGGAGGCCTGATTGAGAGGTTACACTGGATCCCATCCCAGCCATGCTCAGTGATGTGGACGAGCTTCATTCCCCAGCAACGCCCTCTCCCTCGCCTCAAAGGCCAAGACCCAAACTCTGTCTCACATGGCAGGGCAGGAAGCACAGGGTGATGGGGGCCAGGCCCAGGCAGCCTGCTGGGGCAGGTAGGGGCTGCTTTGAGGCATGTTGTTGGCGGCTGGGGCAGAGGAACCAATTCTTTGGTATTGAAGCAATGAAAAGCTATCACAGAAGAGCCACATCTCCAAGCAAAGGTGGAAGGCAAGCTGTACTCTTCCCAGTACCCCTGAAGGACCCTGGGGAAGAAAGGACAGGGCCCAGCCCTTCTATGCAGAGCCCCCTCCCACCCTGAGGCCCAAACCCTGGCACTGCTCAGCCCTGCAGGGAGCATCATTGGGTGGTCATTGAGATAGGAAGGGCTCACTTTTCTCAGGTGAGAAGTCATACTGTCCAGCCCCTGACCACTGTAGCCAATCCCCAAGAACAGTAACAGGGGGGCCAACCACTGGGACCCTCACCCAGGTAGTCTTGGCATAGCCATGGCACCCAGAGCTTTCTTCACAGCCAGGAGACACTGGGCCTTCAAAGATAGAGTAAATAGATTCTCTTGTTAAAATTGCATAACTTACAGAAGAGCCTGTGAAGAGTTTTAAATTTTTCCTGGGAAGAGGACAATTTCACCCTGCATTCCGAACATCTGTTGAGCCCTGGTGGCTGAGTCCTGCCTCTCTGGGAGTGGCCAGTTGGCCAGGGAAGCCCCAGTCCTGCCTGGCTCTTCCTGCCTGCAATAATGTGGGGGAGGCAGTGTCTCTGAGTCTTTCCTAAGGGGACGTGTGCAGACACAATGACAAGGATGGGGCAGGGTCTATCCCCCGACCAAACCAAAGCTCCCATGCTGTCCATTCACAGCCACGCCTTCCCTCCAACAAAACAGAAAGTAGGAAACAAGGCTGCCTCTTTAATCGCAATCAAATATGCTGTCTGAAGTCAGCGAGGCCCCCAGAGCCTGGCCAGAACTGAGCAGGCAGCACTGCCTTGCTTGCACGTAAGGGAGCTGGGGGCAGGGTCACTGTGCTTCTTGCCCCCCTCACCGCCACCGTCTCTGAGCCTCGGGGTGCCACCTAGTGCACTGTCTCCTGTGTGCGTCAGCCCAGCCTCTGGCTGCCCTCGGGAGGAGGGAAGGCAGGGGTCAGGGGTGAGCCAGGGCAGGAACCCCATCACACACGCATGCAGACTCCCCCAGTGTGTTTGGTCTGTCCATTCTCCTCCTCTGCTGAAATGATCGCATAGTTGTGTGCAGTGGTGCTGAGCCAGAGGTGGCCCGTCTGCGCCTCAGGTCCCGGGCCCACCCTACTTCTGTATCTGAAACAGGAAGAGCCGTAAGTTGATGTTCTTGGCAGCCAGCAGCTTGTTGCACTCGACGGAGTCAATGATGGGCAGTGGCACGTAGTCTGTCTCGTTGTTCTCGTTGGTGAAGACAAAGTGGTAGATGACAGGACTGATCCTCACGTCGTCATAGGGGCCCTTGAGCAGCAGGAAAGAGCACTCCAGGGGTGCCGTGACCTTGCTCTTGAGGAGGAGCTGGAAGGAGAGTGTGCGCTTGCATGAGAGGTTGGGGTTGCGCTCCGAGTCGTTCACTCGAGCCTTCAGGACCCATGTCTGGTTCAGCACTGTGAACCTTGGTGTCTCGTAGTATAGGCGCGTGATGAAGTCATCTGTACGGTATGGACGGAACTGGACCTCTGTGGAGACAAGACAGGGCCAGAAAGAGCCAGCCGTTAGTGCGGGCCAGGCTGCACAGCATCATCCCTGACCGGGCCAAGGATAGACTCAGCCAGGGAAGAGGGAGACTTACCCAGATACCGCGTGCTCTACTTGTCACAAAGGCAAACCAAATCAACTATGGCACATGGAGGTGCACACAAGCTTTGGGGGGAACAACCACAGACAGAATTAACACGAATTAGCTGGAGTGTGTCTAGCAGTTACAAGTGGTCAGGCTACAGCCCAGGCATAACCGACCCACACCAGCCTCCCTCCTGGCCCTGAGCCCCAGTACCCCACAGGGTGGGGGAAGTAGACACACAGACAGGATACAGTTCTGAGAATAAGTGCACTTTATTGGTTCTGATACAGAGCTGCCAGAAAAGCCGGCGGACAGGTGTGTGGCACCCAGCCCTGCCCAAGGGGAGTGCCAGATCCATGGGCGTCAGGCTGTGATGCAGGCTCTGCCTGCAGATGTGCCTGCAGGGCCCCAGGCAGCAGGCAACCCTGTCTTCATAGTCCTCTTGTGCAGCCTGCAGCCTGTGGTTGGCAAGTCCCTCCGTGAGGCATGGGCTTCCAGGTGGCCGGTCCTTTCTGTACAAATGGAACTCTCCATGCCTCAGCCTCAGTCACGATGCCCTAGGCCGTCCAGGCTCCATGGGGCCTATTAGGACAGCTAAGGCTGCTGCTAACCAGTAGCAACTGGCCTTCTGCTAAGGCCCCTGGGCCCCTGGCTTGTTGAGCCTGCTCAGGCCCATACCTGGCCAGGCCTAGTCCAGGCAGCCTGGTGTGACCAACTGCCCATGACCACCCCGGGCAAATCCGAGCTGGTTGCCTTGTGTGGACTGAGCAGGAATGAAATGGAGTTTCTCTGAGTGGCCCCAGCAGCAGGTGCTTCTTTCTGTTGTCTGGACCAGGCTCTGACCTGGTTCCTGCTCCCCAGTGTGTTCAAAGGTGGTGCCTGGAGAGCCATGAGATTCACGAGCCTGAGCCCAGTCCAGCCTGTGCATCTGTGGGTATCCACACCCAAGTCTGAAGTTTGTACTGGGTGCCCTCAGTTTGCACTGGGGCCTCTTAGCGTCTTCGTGCCAGCCTGGGGAAGCCCCGTGGCCACTGCTGTCACTGACTGCCCAGTCAGGACCTGACTCCACAAAGTGCTCTTCATGCCCCCAGGCCTTGCTGAGACACGAGGCCCTTTTTGCTGAGATCCCAAGGCTATAGAGCCCCCTACAGTGAAGACGCCACCTTGCTGGAGTGGTGGGCAAGGTTGGGTAGAAGCAGGGAGAGGCTGTTGTGAGAACCACCCAGGTGTACCCCAGGGCCTGCCTAGCACCCCCCTCTACTCCATCTCCTGCCTTTTTTCTTCCCCAAAGTGTTTTCCTCTCCACTGGAGCCTGGCCATGCGGCGCAGCCTGTGCCCACTGCCCAGACTCTGCTCCGGCTCCCACAGCCCACAGCCATGTGGCATGCAGCGGGTGGTGAGGCGCCTCACCTGTGTAGCCAATCTTCTCGAAGCTGAGCAGGCTGAAGATGCTGTTGTACAGCTGCATCTCCTTGCGGTGGCTCTGGTCCATCTCGTCAAGAATTTCCATCAGTTCGTTGCCTGTCTTGGTAGGGTGGGCACACGCAGCCTCGTGTACCGTCAACTCATGGAAGGGGCCATGCCATGGACAGCCGATGCGCTTGTATTTGCACTGGGTCACCCTGGGAGGAGGTGAACACAGCAGTCAAGGCCTATGCTCAGCTCCTATAGGACGCTGAACTGTGAGCTCTGCCCTAGGACAGGGTCAGAGCAGGTATGTGTGGAGAGAGGGGAGGAAAAGCAGGTTCAAGCTGATCCCCCACTGTGGTCTCTCCTCTGCTTGGCAGTCTGAGTAGGCACTGACCAACATCTTGTACTCTGTCCAGCCATTCCCCTGAAGAGGTGTGGTGGCTGGGCCCTACCAGATATCAGATGAGCAGCCATGTCTGTCAGTGCAGCCTCACACCAAGCACCCAGCCCTCCTAAGCTGGCTGCAATTTCCTGACCTTCTAGGGGGCTACCCCACAGCCACAGAGAGCCCGGGAGAGCGGGGGTCATGTTCAGACAGCAACTGAGAACTGACCTCGTTGCCCCTGTCCTGTGCAGTGCCACCTTCCCCCGCCCCCCAGAGCCTGCAGGGCCTGACTGAGCTGTGTGAGTGGTACCTAAGGCCCAGGCAACAAGGGCCAGCCAGGTTACCCACACAGGGGCTTTGCCTATCCCAGGATGGGGATCCAGCCCCATCCTGGCCCTACATGCAGGGCAGCCCTGGCCCAGTATTACCTGTCCTGACACTCCTCCTTCTGGTGCCTCTCCAGCAGGGAGCGGGGAAACTGGCGCAGGCAGAAGCCACACTCTGAGGGCAGCTCGCTCACAGCTTTTTCCACAGCCAGGTTACGGCAGCAGAGGCTCTTACTGATCTCACAACGACAGTTGGGGCACGTGGCCTGCTCCTCCTTCAGCCGGGCATCTGCTAGTAGGTGGATAAAACAGCCAGCGCACATCAAGTGACCGTTAGTACACTGCGGAGAAGGAGAGGGAGATGAAGCTCACAGACCTGCGGGACTTGCGTAAGCACACACCCGCCTGTGCACACTGGCTCCAGTCAGGGCCAGGCCAGTTGTCCTGAGGAACTCCAGCTGCTGAGGACAGGACCACAAGTCTGTCCTGACACAGCCAGCCTGGGCTTCTGCAGAGATCTGGAGTCTCAAGAGTGAGACCTCATCAGCTCATGGAGGGTAGGTCACAGCTCTTCCCTGGTGTAAGCAGAACCAGCAGTCATCAATTTGGCCACAGCAAGGGCATTTAGCCAGCAGCCATGGCAGGGGGGGATGCCATTTCCATGCCTCTTTAGCCATTCATTCTGGGCTTGGGGGACCTAGCTCTGACTGACCTCCAGCCTGGCCCTTCTACTCTGGCCCTCTCTGGTTGAGCACAAGAGAAGGCAGCAGCCACCTGCCCAGGGAGGCTGAATACCTACAGGGACTATCCTGAGAGCTGGTGGCACAAAGGTGTGACAGACGAGGCCAAGTTGGCTCAGGACAGGGTAGGTGGGGACACAGGGAATGCCCACGGGTGCTGGGAACAGGGGCTGCAAGCAGGACATGATGTTGAGTTGGGCTGGTGTAAGCTGGGGGGTCCCTCCCCATGGGAGTCCTTGTTCATGTGGACAGCCAGATGCCAGGCACCACTCTCACCTTGGATCTCTTGCTCATTTGACATATTGGGGGCCGTGGGCTCAGCCCTCAAGGGGCTCACAGAGTGGGAGGATGTTAGGCCCAGATCATAACCAAGAGGTACAAGAGCAAAAATCTGAAGCTATGCAGAAACAGCTGCCCAGGTCCTGGGCTGTGGTGAAGTAAGGGTTTGGACTGAGTTTCATTCTGAGGGCTGAAAGCACACCAAGGGCCGGCTGAGAGTGACAGGGACTGGCTTTCCATTTGGTAGGACTTTCTCCTAGCTGCCTGAGGGCAAGGGGGCAGGCAGAGGAGTCGCCTCTGTCCAGACTATGCTTCCCCAGCATCTCAGTGGAGGCCTGGGCCACAGGCCTGCTTTGGGGTCTGGGACATTTTTTTTTTTTTAGCAGGCCCGGGCTGGGTTTGAACCCACCAATTTTGGTGCATGTGGCCGGTGCCCTAACCACTGAGCTATGGGCACCCAGCCGGGTTTGGGACATTTTAAGAACAGGATGCTGTGAAACAGAGACCCAGTCTGCTATGCTGCAGCCTCTCTGCATAGCAAAGGAAGGCATGTTCACAGGTATATGCAGGGCACCAGTAAGCCCTAGTTGCCACTCTGTTGCTGCAGAGGTCTTAGCACCCTGAGCTCAGGAGCTATAGAAGCTGGCTAGCTCTCTCAGCACCTATGGGGTCTAGTGAGTGACACAAAGGAACCAACAGCAGGACACAGAATCCATGTCCATACAAACACCAAGATTATCTGCATTCAAACTTCAAGTTCTACATTCCATTAACAATTAGAATGCACATGAGGAGGAAGAGGACTGCATTGGTGTGGCTCACTCTGGAGGATCCTGGCCCAGCAGGTGCTATTCTGCCCCAACTGCCATGACATGAGGTAGGGAAATTGGTCTGCTCCACTCAAACCCAGGGGTCAGTGGTGAGTGGACTGGGTGGGGGAGGCCCAGGTCCCACCCCATTGCGCCCCACCTTCACTAAAGGCTGCTGGGAGCGTCAGATGCTGGCTCTGCCAGGCAGGCAGGTCCTGGGTTGAGGAAAGCTGTTGCTTCTGAAGGCAGAGGGGCAGGAAGGAGACAGCACAGCACCAACTGGCTGTTTGTTTGGGGGAAAACCTGAGCCAAGTCACATAACCTATGATAAGCCCAGGAGGATGCCAGGGCCAAGACCCCCTGGCGTCTCTAGCTACTCCCTGTGGCCAACCTGAGGCACCTCCTTGTGAGGATGCCTGCACCTTGGTAAGGCTCTGGGCCCAGCTCTGCAGCTACCTCCCACATTCTGCCCGTCCCAGCCTGAGGGCCTCTCCTCTGGCTCTAGACAGCCCAGCCAGAGGGATGGAGTCCTGGATCCTCCCCAGGAGGCACTGAGGCCATCAAGCATATCACCCCTTAGTTCCCAGCACCACTCACCCTGAAAGCTGCCCCAACTCCTTTGCCAGCCCTATCCACAGGCCTCATTCCTCCAGACCCAACACAAGCCCAATCAACTCCATTCCAGGGGGAAGTAGTGGAGGCCTTGCCCTCCGCCCCCCTCTTGGCCTCCTGGAGAACCTGCAAGCTATGAAGAGAGGTGGGATCACTGCCTTTCTAGCCCTAATGGCTCAGCTACAGCAGAACACAGCAAGCCCCAAGAGGCCCTGGAACACACTGGCCCCATCAAGGGACAGGCCCATATCCTGTCCATCAGCTGTTTAGGACATGCTTTCCAGGTGGACTCAGGGGAACCGGCCTGGAATAGACCAGCACCCAGCAAGATGGATGTGTCCACAGCAAGATGGTCATGATGCTCCAGAGTCTTCTTCACCATCCAGGCCCTCTCAGTCTCCTGAGCAGGACCTCGGTTCTGCTTAGGTTAGCCTTGGCAGTGGTGACTTGTGCCCATTACCAAGCCAAAAGCTTGCCTGGGAGGACTTCATATAGTGCTGGCCACATGCCTCCAGCAGATAACACAGGCCACAGGAGGCCCCCAAAGTCCAGGTGTCTCCAGAAGCAGCCCCTGCAGTACCTAGGCCAGGCTGCCTCCCACTACTAGCCAGGAGATCCTAGTGGTGGGGAGAGGGAGGGAAGGGATTTTACAACCCAGGCTGACATCATGGGACCTCCTAGACCTCCTAGGGACCGATGTTGGCTTAGAGCCACAGTGCTGGGCTAAGACACCAGCCCACAAGTCACCAGCACTATGACCTTGGCCTCAGTTTCTATGTGCACAAGACGATGAGTATGCAACCCACCTCATCCTACACTGATAAGATGGAATGGACCTGGCAACGTTGCTCTGCACCCAGCACACAGCAAATACTACCACCACAGTCACCCACGGCAGAGCTCTTGGGGGGACCCATCTCCATGAGAAGCCAAGGATTCAGACCCCTCTATAGTTGCTGATACATGCAAGCAGTCCAGAAACAGCTATTTGCACCTGTCCTCTCAGGACAGTGCCTGAGCCTTCCCTCTGTCTGGCCACAGGCAGCTCACAGGCATCCAGCCTGTGCAAACCTGAGGTTTCTATCTGAGCTGCCTTCTCCCTCCAGGGTTAAGGAGTAGCTGGATAGACTGATTAGGCTTGAGGAGAATAAGTCCTGTCCCCCAGGCCTTGGGCCATAAGCAGGTCTTAGGAAATGACCCCTACTACTTTCTGTGGTCCAAAGCTCCCTATGGTCAGCTAGCCTTTTAGGACATATGGTACTTTGAAACTCTAGGGACGGGATGGGTGCCGTAATCCCTGCACCTTCACAAGGCTAAGGCAGGAGGATCACTTGAGCTTGAGACCAGACTGAGCAATAGCAAGACCTAGTTTCTACAACAAATAAAAAAAGAACTTAGCTAGGCATGGTGGTGCCTGCCTGTAGTTCCAGCTATTCAAGGGACTGAAGCCAGAGGAGCTCCTGAGCCCCAGAGTTAGAGGCTGCAAGGAGCTGTGATGTTCCCACTGTGCTCCAGCGTGGGTGACAATGAAACCCTATCTACCTCAAAAAAAAAAAAAAAGAAAGAAAGAAAGAAAAATAAAAACAACCAACCACGGCTCAGCGCCTATAGCTCAACTGGCTAAGGCGCCAGCCACGTACACCTAAGGTGGTGGGTTCGAATCCCCAGCCCGGACCCACCAAACAACAATGACGGCTGCAACCAAAAAATAGCCGGGCGTTGTGGCGGGCGCCTGTGGTCCCAGCTACTTGGGAGGCGGAGGCAGGAGACTCACTTGAGCCCAGGAGTTGGAGGTTGCTGTGAGCTGTAATGCCACGGCACTCTCCCCAGGGGGACAGCTTGAGGCTCTGTCTCAAAAAAAAAAAAACAACCAACCACTCACCCCCAACCAACAAACTAAACAAACCCTGGGGTCCTACACTTTCCCACTCCAGCCTATCCTCTCATCCAGGGGGTCAGGGACTCACAGGTCTTGACAGTGGCCATCATAGCTGAATGAACTTGGCCCTGTCAGCCAGCAGGTCCCCCTCCTTGGACATCTGGTTTGCTGGAAGGGCCTCAGCAGGCCCAGAGCACCTCAGGGCACACCCAAGGCCAAGCATGTGCGGCCCTCAGCCTCTTCAAACACTGGCCTGAGAGGAGCCCAGGCATTGTCTAAGGTCACACAGCTATTTAGGAGTAAAGGCAGGATGTGAACCTCCCGTCCAGGCAGGTAGGATTTAAGGTCCCTCTTCATGTCTGGGTGTGAATGGGGCCCAGCCGCCCTCTCGAGTTAAGCTTCCATTCACAATGTAAATGCTGGTCTAAAAGTAACTCAAAATGACAAACCACCACCACAAAAAACATTTCTCACCTAGACAGAGATTCCAGAAACTTCCTTCTTGCTCTGTCCTGTGAGTTGTGGATACCTAAACAGATGTATTTTCAAAGCTCTTTTCGGCTACTTTTCTCACCTCAAAGAAACAAGCAGCTGCAATCCTGAGCTGCTCCCCCAGGGATCAGGAAGAGGTGGCTGGACTCCCACAGATGGCTCTCTGAGGGTAAATGGGCAGTGATGGAGCTGCCCTTTCCTCCTGGGCCTTCTAACAGTGGGATCATCAGTCAGGTAACCAGTCTCCTGAGCCAAGATTGCCCTACAGACAGAGACTCTCAGGGGAGTGAGGGCAGCCAGGCCAAGGGTGGGAGTGCCCATGTCAGATAAGGAAGGGCGCACAAGGGAGGGCTGCACATCTTTATAGAAGGGAGAGGATGACCTCAGCTGGGCCCAAGAGGAACAGCAGAGGCAGGCAGGGATGGAAGAGGACAGCTCAGCCAGAAGGGTGCAGGGACCCAGCCAGAGGCCTTGAGTGAGAGGAAGCAGCTGGGGCTACCCCAGATGCAGGCTGGAACATTTGTAATGGGGCATCTGATGGCCCTGTACTCCTGACAGCTTGTTTAAACATCAAGAATGCCCTGGGGAGGGGTGGGACTACATGCTAGCACCAAGGCTCAGGGCCCTGGCTGCCATTTTTAGGTCAAGGCAAAGACTGCCTCAGGGTGGACAAGGTAGAGTCTCATGTGCAGGAGAACTGGGGAAATCAGGCACCACCGAGGCCCCATCTTCCCCAGAGAAGATGCTCCCACAGGCATAGGTGCTAACAGGTGACATGTCCTTAGGCCACAGGGCTATGCCTGGTCTGCCCACTCTGCCTGCCAGAAGCTCCTACAGAGGTGTCCCTGTTTCCCTGCCAGGCCCCCCGCTCTCCATCTGGGTGCCTGCACACCTTGCCAGGCCAGTCACCCAGGACACACTCAAGACAGGAACATCAAACACATGTACCATCAGCTGCAGCCTGAAGCTGAATGTGACACAGGCAGCAGGAGCCATTTGCACAAGGGCACTGGTCTGACACCCAAGCAAGTTTCCCAGCCTTATAGGTATGGCATGTGAGCACAGGCTTGTCAGGAGGCCAGTCCTATAGGCCCAGAGTTCAGACTTGGGGGCAGGTGGACTGTGTACCATTCAAGGCTTCTCTGGCAGCATGGCCGCACCCAGTGGCTGGAGGACAGGCTCTCGAATTACCCAGTGCCCAGCCAACTCCAGAGGCCCATGGAGCTGTTTCCTAAGCCTCAGTGCTAGGGACAGCACACAAGTCTCAGTATGGCCATCCCTGAGCTGGGCACCATCTGAGTTGACCCCTGAAATGCACAGCATGGCTGGTGCCCACCCTGAGCCACACATTCTGCTGGTGTCAGACAAAAAAGTTCCATCAGGAACAGAGGGCAGAATTTGCCACATGCCTGATCAATTCAGATCTCCAAAGGCCAGCAGAAGATGGAAAGGCTGAGCTGAGTCCAAAGTGGTGGCAAGTAGCAGGCCCTAACCAGGGACACACTGTCTGTGCCCAGACCCTCTAGGGGAGCAACCAGGCAAGAGTGTGGATCTTTAGGCCTGTCTTAGGCCACAGTGGTGACACAACAGTGACCTTCCAGGGTTACTTCACACAGCATGAAACCACCAGAAGAGGTATCCGCAAGCAGCATTCAGAGGCACCAAGAGACATTTCCTTTTTTTCCCACATCACACAGCAGATTTATATAAGTTCCGACAGAGCCCCAAGGGCTCTCCCACAAATCACACACTCTAGACTCTAGGCTCCAGAGCCTTCTCTAGGCCTCCAGAAACTCCTCTGCTGCTGAGGCCCAGCTGTCACTTGGGAGGAGATTGCAGCTCAGTCAGCACTCATGGCTCTCCATGCTCACAAGGTCTGTACTAGGGAAGCCAGTGAGCAGAGACTGGGGGACCAGGGAGGCTACCAGTCAGAGCTGTCCCAGAACCTTCACTGTCCATTACAGCTGCTCAGCTCCCTGCCTCTGGCCACCCCACACAGTACAGGCCCATTTGAGCCAGCCAGGCTCAGAGACCTGGATACCAGCAGCTCTGGCCAGAAGTAGAGCCTCAGTTGTGCTAGGCCAGCCCAGAGAGGGGGTAGAGTGGACCAGGAACTAGAACCACGCAGCCAGTCATCATGCCAGGTCCAGCTCCAGCCCATTCATAGATGAGACAGAGAAAGACAGAGGAGGGACCTGAATTCTCCTGGGAGGACCCACCATTGGCTTGGCTCACTGGATATTGACCCAAGATCCAAGAAAAAAAGAGTTCTTTCACTCGGGAGGATCAGAAGGTTGTGGGCAAGCATAAAGGGGCTGGAAAGTGGGTAAGTCCTGAAAGCCAGAACACTACCAAAGCCAAGAGACAGCTGTTAGTTCTGGGGAGCAGCTGTGAAAAGCTCTCCCCCAGCTGGCACTGACACCTGACACCCAGAAGGGTGGAAACTCATGCCTTCTCCCCACCCAGCCACACTGGGATCCTCCCAAGCGACCTCATGCCTAAGCAGGAAGGATTTCAGGACCCAGAGATTAGGGAAATTGCAACCTAGACTATCCATGTAACACCTACTATAAAAACGGCCCCTCACCCAGACTCTCATTTTCAACATATAAACAAGGAAATATGACCCCACCAGCCACTTCCATAAGTGCAAAAAAACAGGGAACCCACTTCGTTTCTCAAAAGGACTGGGAAGTTAACGTGTAGACGGATGAAGAAGAAGGTAGGAAACTGCACACTGCATCTGCATGCCAGTCAGAGGTCTGCCCAGCTGCCACCTGGGCCAAGTACCCTCTCTGACAGCACTAAGCTGGTTAGCAACTCCATGCAATGCCATGCTAGACAGACCTCCTAGAACACTGGTGACCTACGAAGGCAGCCCTGGTGTGGGTGAGGAGCACCCATATGCATACAGGGGCACAACATATTCAGAGAATACTGGGTTAGGTTGGGGCTAGAGAACCAGGCTGGGGGCTTGCTGCAGGTGGTTCATCCAGACCAAAGATAGGGATTTGGTAGGGGGAACATGAAAAGCAATCTTCTCTCTTCTTCCTGTTCTTCAGAATAAAATGAACAAATTAAAGAATTCTGTTGAGGAGAATAAAAAGGAAAATGTACACAGCTCAAGAAATAGAGGACAAGCCGGGGTGGAGAGAGTGGGGTGTGGGGGGTGTGGCTGCCAGGACAGGGAAGGAGCTCTGGAGCGCTCAGGACTGTGCCCAGGGGCTTGTGAATGAGGGGAGCAGCCCTGCCCTGCAGGCAGGGTCAGCTTGAGAGGGTGGGTTGAGGGGCGCCGAGAAGGGGACTGGAAGGATCTGGAAAAGAACGTAAGCAGAAGAGACTTAAGTGGATTAGAATATGGCAAAAAGGGATTCAAAGCAAGAAATCAAGTCCTGAGAGGAAGACAACGAGAAGCTTCCGAGCAGGCGCTGCAGTCCCGCTGGCGAGGAAGGTAGATGTGAGGACCAGGGCTAGAGAGGGTTCTTGGCCGCCGGGTCCCCCGACCCCTGGCCCTGGCTTCCAGGGTGACCCGGAGCCTGGGGACCCCGCAGCAGGGGCTGGAGCCCCGGGCTGGGCCGGGTCGGGGTCGGCCGGCGGCCCTACCTGGTACACGGAAGCCTTGGGCAGGTCCAGGCACACGGTGCAGCAGAGCACCGAGTAGAGCCGCTCCTCCAGCTTCCCGCTG